ATGGGTGACCAATATCACCTGTATGCAGGGCTTGTGGCCATAACAGTCAGTAATCATCATTGTAAAAATAATGCATGAACAATTATGACTTTCTATCAGAACAATGCTGGGGGGGAGAGGGGTGGGTGGGTGGGCCCTTTAAACAAAAAAGTTGCTTCCTTTCTTTTTCCAGAGGAGTTTGAGACAATTAAGAGGTAGCTCCCGAATTGCTGAAATAAAGCACTCCCTTGCTGCCACTGTCAGGCAGCCTAGGGATTATTCATCACTAACTTGATTTAAGAGTTTTAACTTCTTAATAAGGAGACTGAAAGGCATAAACAAATGGATTAACATGCACACGAAACAAAAAAGTTGCTTCCTTTCTTTTTCCAGAGGAGTTTGAGACAATTAAGAGGTAGCTCCCGAATTGCTGAAATAAAGCACTCCCTTGCTGCCACTGTCAGGCAGCCTAGGGATTATTCATCACTAACTTGATTTAAGAGTTTTAACTTCTTAATAAGGAGACTGAAAGGCATAAACAAATGGATTAACATGCACACGGGGGAACACATGGCTTCATCATAGCCAAGTCTCTTTAATAAAAAGAGAGGCACTTGACCCAAGCCATTGAAGCATACCTAAGAGTTGGAAGAACAGCATTCCAGTACAGAATCATTTTAATACTTGGTATGCCCTCAGGCTTACACAGTCTCTAATTACTAAGATTGTACCTTCTGACATTGATAACAGAACTGCCAATGACTTCAGTGGTGCAAAGTCAGGCCTTATGTTCCTACCTCCAAAATAATGTAAAATGTATATAAAAAGCTGAATTTTCAAGTTAAAAGATCAGAAGGATATCCGTGTTAGTCTGAATCTGCAAAAGCGACGAGGAGTCCTGTGGCACCTTATAGACTAACTGAAGTGTAGGAGCATAAGCTTTCGTGGGCAAAGACCCACTTCGTCAGATGCATCTGACGCTTTTGCAAGTTAAAAGGTTTAATAATATGGATTTAGCTGCTACAAAAGCTTTTAAAAATATCTGTAAGATCCCAACAGCTTGAAAGGAGGGGATTTCTTATCACTTGACTAATTATAAACTGGACAAAGCATTCCTAAATTGGGAAAGCACTGGACATCATGACCTAGCAAGGCTTTTAAACAGACTGACAGATAGACAGACAGACAAATAGGATTACATCCACCCCATGATAAATGTACCATCATGCATCTTTCACGGTTTCATCTGCTGCCTGCCCACTAATCCATCTCCTTCAGTGGAAAATCCCAAATGCCTGAACAGTTTAAACTGCTGCCTTTTATTTTTAATCCACCTGCCTAAGAAATCTTTCCTTTCCCCACACCAAATATGGACTTTCCTTCTGCAGAGGGTGAAGATTAACAGGATCCAGTCGTGGGCCTGAGACAGCTGTGCTATATGTAAAATGTCATGATTTTAAAGTCTAATATCTTATGGTCCTACAAGAATAGAAAGGCAGCCTTCTGATACTGAGAAAAAGACTTCCCATCTTCTAGATTCTATCCCTGAAAGATTCTAAAATAAAGGACTTTCTTGAATTCAAGGCATTTTTATGTACGAAAAAACCACCTATAGTCAATTTTAGGTGTTTTTATAACTCCTTCTGTATCCTGAAAAGTTGGACTCCCAGTAACTAAGGCATCTACCTTTCTGCATAAAGGATACCAATGTTTGGTGTTAATACTATTTTTAAAACTCTAAAACACTTGCAAAATAGTTTTTTCTGTAACACATGAGACCTGAATACATGGTGGTACTGTACTCAGGTTTTACTTAATACTGGAAGATTTACCCGATGCTGCTTGAGTCCTTATTTCAAATAAGTTTTGTTTTTCTTCATTTAAATAATTTCTCTGGGGTAGAGCTGGGGATGAGGAGTTCAGTATGCAGGCTGCCCCAGGGAAAGGGAACAATCCCAGCCCCCTCGCAACACAGCAACTTGAGGACGGTCCATAGTCACTGCAGCTGCATGAGGCGCTGTTGGGGAGGGAGGAATGTCCCCTGGATATAGGACAGACAGATAGACACAAACTCTCTGAAATATATAGTAGATAGCTGTCTCTTTCTCCACTCCTACCCCTTGCTGGGGTTGTAGCTGTCCCAGTTCCCATCTCTGGCCTCTAGCTGCCCTACTACCACACCCTCCTACTAGACTTTTCAAGAAACAATTGAATTCCACATCCCATTGTTCTGGCACTACAACCAAACTATTACCTTACTTTAAGTTATGATAAGAGGAAGCTGCATACCAAATTTGGTAGTCTTAGCTCTTAACATTTAGGCGTTCTTGAACAAGTGGACTCACAGACAGACGGACACAGACAGTGTGCACAAACTCTCTAAACTATATAGTGGATTCCATTTTTGTTTGACATTCTCAGGACTCTGTAGCTGACTCTCCATTTGTTGATCTTTATCACTGCCTATTTGTGATCTAAAACAGCCTTCAGCCTAGCATTTATAGTTTCAGGTAGCACCCAAAATAAAGTCTGAAGACAAAAATGTCCACTCCATTTATATCAATTCTACTCCAACTTCAGTGGTGCAATTCCAAGTATATTCCAGATCAAGATATTGCACATTTACATCTCTGTGAAAGAAGAATTTGAATCTTAACCTTTTGAGGGCTTTTTATATGGAAAAAATATCACCTACGGTCCTTTGCTGGACATTCCATATTTGTAACATTCTTTACCTGGGATTTTTTTAAATTACAGAGTTATACTCTGCTTTTTCTCTCCATCATCTACCATGTTCCTAAGATCAATAATGCAACAAATAATAATGTATTCACTCAAGTAAAAAACCTGACAAAAATTTGTACCAGGGCTTGTCTATACGAACAGGTTGTTTGTCTGAAGCTGGGGTATAAACCTACCCTGTGCTTGCCTGCTGCACAATGTCTGTATGGGTCCTGCTGCCACACACACAAAGTTCCGTTAGAGTGCTTTGATCTACTCTGCTTTGAAAAAGAAACAGATAAAGGCACACTAGGAAACTTTTAATGCACTGCAGCAGGGTCCACACAGCCAGTTAGGGTACATTTATACACTCTAACAGAATAACTGATGTTATTCTGAAATAACAAAATGTACGTCTATACAGAAAGCCATTATTTCAAAATAATGTTGAGCTGGAGGACTTCTTACTCAGACTCCTGTAACCCTCATTTTAAGGGAGGAGAAAGGGAAGTCAAAGGAAGAGTGTTCTTCCTTCGACTTCCTGCTGTGTAGACACAACCAAAAGCCTAATTAAGCTATTTCAATTTCAGCTACGCATTTGAAATTTGAATTAAGTTGATCTTAATTCAACTTTTGCCCTGATGTGTAGACATACCCTTAGTGCATGACAGGCTAGTGCAAGGTGGATTTACACCTCAGTGTGTTGCACACTAGTTGATCATATAGACAAACTCACAACTGAATCTAAAGCTAAATCATAACATTTGTCAATCTAACTTCAACCACTAGCCTAAGCCTGAACCAGATCTAGATCCAGATACCAATTACCTTGGCATCAGATCATCTCTAGCTAGAAATGTAATTTGCACAAGAAAATATTCAGTGTTAAGTGAATTTAGTGCTGGTGAAAACAGACAGGTTGAAAGCTCTGGAGACCAAAGTATTCCATACTCAGAACAGATATAGCATGCATATTTCCTCATAAAGTGCCTTGCCAAAGTGTCTTGGAAAGATCACGTTTAGGAAGTTAAAGACTGGGGGGAGGGAGGCAGATTTTCAAAGCTTATTAGGCAACAAAAGATACAGTGAGGTACCCAATAGGGTTCTCAATATTGCAGGTTAGGCACCTAATTCCCATAAATGTTAAGGCATTAGGCACCTAACATGCAGAGGTGCTTTTGAAAATCTCACTGCATGCATATTTCAGGACATAAATACCTTTACAAACTGGCCTTAGGACCTTACACAGGGAGTAAGGCTCCCCTGTTGTGCATCCTAATGTGTACACTACATGAGGAAGTCAACTTAAGAGAATAATGTAGCTGGAGTCAATGTACCTTAAGTTAAATTTCTGTAGTGTCCCCACTGTGGGAGCTCAACAGAAAATACTCTCCCATCAACTTCCCTTACTCCTTGTGACCCTGTGGGGTACCGGCGTTGACAGGGGCACCATCAGCGATCAATTTAGCAGATCCTTATTAGATCTGCTAAATTGAACCCCAGAAGATCACTCTCTGGTGTGTTGATCTCAGAGTAAGTGTACATTGGGCTTCCGGTGCTTGAACCCTTTATGGTGCAGTGTAATAGCTGCTGAATTAGACTAGCTCCAACCAGGATATAAGCAGGCCTGGAGTCTCTTTCTCTTTTGCTCTATGTTGGAAGAGAAATGCATGGTCTTGGCCAGAGAGGTCTTGTACTGGACACCACAGAAAAAACAAACTTAGTGATAAGTCTTAGTGTGATGCTTATGTTTGGTTATAATCTTCTCCTTCTTCTTAAACCCTTATACTCTGAGTGGAGCATAGGACATCTACAAGTTTCCTCCACTTCACTCTGTCTCGAGACACAACTTCTAGCTGACTTTAGGAGTTCCCCAGTAATTGTCCTTCAACCTCAGTAGGTCTTCCTCTTTTGCATTTTCCTTGAGGGTTCCATGTAAGAGTTTGACGGACTATGCTAGATGATGGTTTTCTGAGTGTGGCGCCTAGCCATCCTCACTTTCTTCCTTTGATTTGAACGTCAAGTGGTGCTTGTCCTGCTCTGTTCCAAACCTCCTCATTTGTGGCAAAGTCTTGTCATTTGATGCGAAGGACGTACCTCAGGCATCTGTTATGAATGCCTGTAGCTTGTGATTTGAAGACTTTTTTGTATGCCAGGTTATAATCTGAGTTGCTAGTAATACCAAATGTCAGGAAGCAGTCAGTCAGATGTGTAGATTCCATTTAGAATAGGGCAAGAACCACATGGAATTACAATAAGACTAGCCACTTTGCTTAGTCAGCCTTTATCTTGTCTGCTAGATTTGCCAGCAAGAGCAGAGTTTAGTGCCAATGGAAATTGTGGTCTCCGCCATGCGGAAATCTCATCTATGACTCCTGATGTAAGACCACCAAGCTAACTGCACCATACTCCAAGAGTATCATCTACTGGGATGGATTTTAACTCTATGTGTTAAAGCTGCTGGATCCCATTACCATTTAGTGGGACTGAAGATCTGAAATGGGTAAAAGAAATCTACTCTGGAGAAACCAGGATGTTTCTTTTGTTTTGTAAAATACAAACAATTTATCATCACAAGTCTATAATTCAAAGCTATGCTACCTTAACTAGAAAAGCCAGTTCAGTTTAGCTTTCTGCTTGTATTTAAAAATCAATGTTTAGGTCTTCTCATTGGACCAGCCAGCCTTTGGAAAAAGTATTTCTTCAATCTAATTATCCCTACCATGATTTTTTGTTGTCACAAATGTCTGCTGACCCACCCACTGACAATTCTGCACCACTAAGCTTCAATTCTGAAGTCTTACAAGTAGCAGATGTGTTCATCCCTGCAGTGCCCAATGCAATGTGAAAGACTAACATCTTCCCTCTTTTACAGTGCCAGTAACTATGAATTTACTTGCATTATTTTAGGCCGTGCTAAAATGTAAATCTGTGGCTTCCCTCATGTGTGCTCTTATATCAAATTGGCCGGTAGCTCAAAACTACATGAAATTGTTCATTAAAATCAGAATTTGGCTGGTCAAGGTTTAATATTTAAATGATTCTGTTTAAAACAATATAGATATGGTCAGAGTAGCTACAGAATCAGAATCACCCAAGCTGTGGAGAAAGATGTAATTCCCTGCACTCCAGAAGGAGTTTCCCTAAGTGATGGTGGACAGTAGGGCTGTGTCTACATTGGCACCCTTATAAGGGATCTTCCGGAAAAGGGTTTATTTTCTGAAAGATCCCGTCTAGACTGGTGCTTTTCTCCGGCAAAACCCCGAGCCGGAAAAAAGCGGCAGCCATGTTCATGCAAATGCCGCGGGGAATATTTAAATCCCCCACGGCATTTGCAATTCCGACTGGTCTCATTAGCATCCCTTTTCTGGAAAAGGCTGCCAATGTAGACACAGCCTAGACGTTTGGTGTTTTTTGGGAGATGGAAGCAGCAGTTGATGTCAAGGCTCTGTAGGATGCTGCTCAGGATATATGCTGGATCACTGCTTGCTGCCCTGAGCAGGCCTCTTCCCTCCCCAGTGCCTCCTGCGTTTTCAGATAGATTCAGGAGTCCCCATTGGGTCCTCAAGCAGGAAGAAGATCTGACTTGTTTCTACAAAAGCTTTAGGGGGTAGCCGAGTTAGTCTGTACAGGATAAACTTAAAAAACTACAAATGGTCTGGTAGCACTTTAACTAACAAAACATATAGATGGTATCATGAGCTTTTGTGGGCACAGCCCACTTCATCTGAAGAAGTGGGCTGTGCCCACGAAAGCTCATGATACCATCTACATGTTTTGTTAGTCTATAAAATGCTACCAGACCATTTGCAAAAGCGACGAGGAGTCCTGTGGCACCTTATAGACTAACTGAAGTGTAGGAGCATAAGCTTTCGTGGGCAAAGACCCACTCCTCATCGCTTTTGCAGATTCAGACTAACACGGCTACCCCTCTGATACTTGATACCAGACCATTTGTTGTTTTTTAAGTAGTTTCTACAACTACAATATCCCTCACCCAAACTCTCTCATCAAAGGCTTCGAGGACTTAAGCAGGTGGAAAAACATAAATCCAAACTGTTTCTCAGTCTCTTGCCTCTCAGTAATTTAGATTTCATCTTGCAGTTTTTTTCTACAGGAAATGACTAGTGAGAAGGATTATGCTGTAAATGACTGAGCAGCCCAATTTACAGAATTCAGCTGTAGATCTGAACTGGAACTTGTCCTCCCTCCCCGTTCCCCACCTGAGCCACAAGTTGGAAGGAGTTCAACTCAGAATTACCTTTCAGATCTACTTGGACTAAAATGCATATTGTGACCATCTATATTAAAGTGGCCAAATATATTTAGCTTTCCTAAAGGCCCACTGGAAAACCTTGCAAGCATTCACTAACTGACCTATATGTTTGCCCTGACAAAGAGGTGAAAAAGCTGCTCCTTTTCTAGACAGGTTTGTTTTTAGCATTTTCCCTAGCTCAATTCATTAGAAAATCAGGCACATTACTGTGGCAGATGCTGGAGTTCAGGGGTTCCAGCGAGAAAGGAAAAGATTTCCTGTTGAAAAACAAAATAGTACAATTATAGCCTAGAGACGTGGAGTCCTCTTCAATGATGTAATTCAGTTTGGCTTTGCACTGAATTGATGGTATTGTTGTCTTAACTGAGAGCTTGGGGCAGACTTTTGCTGAGTTCATGAGCTATAAAGAGCTAACCATTTCTGCACATGCAAATATCAACAAATCAATTGCTGTTATACGCAACTTCAGTTCACGCATTAGCAGTCGTTTCAACTAAGTGTTTATTAGTGTGTTTGGCTAACTGAAGAGTGCCTACCAGCTCTACTGCTGGAACAAATGTGGTGGTGATTCCATGCCAGGCCTTCTGGGGGTACTTAGAGGAGGAAGAGCAGATGTTGAATAACGGGTGCAAACAGAACAAAGACTTTTTGTCCCCTTTCTCTTCCTTTTGTAACACAAGCAGACCCTGTGGTCGGACTGAACTTGGGACCTCTGAAGCTTAGTATATAGTATAAAGCTCTACTGGATCGAGTAAAAAACACTCCCCTTTTAATTCAAGCTGTAATAGACTCAATCCCTAAGTGGCCATGCACAGTGTTGTAAACTGCGTGCATGGGAAGCCATCCCAAAGAGATTCACGTGCCATCCAGCTGATGAACAGAGCGCCCACAGCCGGCAGCCTATTTTTCTGTTGATGGTGAACATCCACACATGCCTTGGTGCACATAACAAAACTTACTCCACACATGGATGGAACAACTTAGCCACAATGTCACTGGACACAATGTCACTAGGTGGGACAGAACACTCACAGAGCATGTGGGTTATACTTGCAGACTCTTGCAGGAGTCAGTCACAATGTGATCCTTACTCTTCACAGAGACGAGGTGGGTGAGGTAATACTTTTATTGGATCAACTTCTGTTGGTGGGAGAGACAAGCTTCTGAGTTAGATAGAGCTCTTCTCCAGACACGAACACAAGCTCTGTGTAAGCTCAAAAGTTTGTCTCTCGCACCAGGAGAAATTGAAAGATATCTCATCTACCTTGTTTTTTCCAGTATCCTGGCACCACCCTAATAACTATAACAACCTTGTTTTTTAGTAAGTTTTTATCAAGAAAAACTCCCATTGACTTCACTGAGTTTTTTGTAGAGGCTGGAACTGAAAGCCTTGAGCCCTGATTTTTGAATTCTTCCACCAGCAGCTCAAATGAAATATTATCCTTGCAGCAGTGCATCTTCCATGCTCCCTCAATATTCAAGGGCTGCCGAAACGTACATTTTAGCTTCTGCTCAGTGAACATTATCTCAACTATTTTAACTCTTTGGGGCAGTAAAGCTGTGCTGGAAACCTTGCCCAAACAGCCCACTTTCATCTCATCTGCCTTCAGTCTTGGCCAGAATCCAAAGATGAAGAAGCAGGCAGAAGTGAAGAATGGAGGGGAAAAATGCTAAAGACCAGATTCTTCCCATCTCCAGCCCTGGGCACCAGAATCTCACAGAGAACCTCATATTTACATGCTAGCAAAGAGTAAGGTAACTGTATGTGGGAGTGGGGAGCTCAAGATCCTTCTCTCTCCTGTGCACAGTTCAGCAGTTTGCTGAACATGGAGCTAAGTAAACTCAGAAATAAAAGAAAAATGCATGTTTTGCAACTGCAGAATTGTTAGATGAGCATCATAAGTGGGTTTTTTTTTAAATGATTGAGCAAAATTCATCCCTAGTGTGTCATCTGGGGGTGGGTTTTCCTACACTTACAATGGAGCTGAATGGGGGTAAACAAAAGAAAACAGGAACTGGTTCATGCAAAATAAGAGGAAGTTGTGGCATTTTGTGGCATGTTGTACACATCAAGAGCATGAGAGGCATCTCACATCTGCTGTTGAGTTCTAATATGCCATTTATTATGTGCCATGTGGTAAGCTTAGTAGTGGCATACCTTGAGTGGTATGTTACACCTGAAAGGTGCTTGTGTGCGCGTGCTCTCGCTCTCTCTCTGTCACATCACTAATATGCATGAAACAGGCCACAAAAATCTTAGCCATTACTGATTTATTCTGGCATCTAACTTCTTGGTTACACTAAACATGACTTGACGGGGAGGGTGTAACACAGTATATACGATCTTTGTTCACTGTGGAATAGCTAAGCCTTTTAGAGCACATGGGATCCAATCCTGAACACGGACGAACATCCTCCATGACCAGGTGCCCAACACCTCTCTGGAGGAGGAAGGTGCCCAACACCTTGCAGGAGGATCTCCATTCTTCGCTATACAACCCCGCATCAACCATCATTCTGGAGAATCACCTGGGGCCCTTGTCTTCAAAAACAAACATAAAATGTGCTTCAGGCAGTATCAGTACCTCTTGGGAAGATATCTGTAGGCCTTAGAGCAGCTGAAACAAGGCACCTTAAATCAGCCCATACTTTCATCTAGCTTTAGGCATGAGGCAGCAGAGGTTATTGCTTCAACAGTGACCATGTGGTTGAGTAATAAGGCTCCATGTAGCCAAGTCCACCCAGTAAGATCCAGGACATGATGGGGACAGATAATTCTGCCCAGTTCATGCCCAGATATCTTCATCCATACAGCAGATCATCCTTTAATTCTCCCCAACACTAATATTTAGAAAAATTTAAGCCTAAATATTCAGATCTGTCTACTTATTTTGGGAGGGTGCAATTCTTGGGTGCTTGATCTGAGACACTTAAATTTAACTTACACATTTTTTTTTAACATCAGTAGTTTGAATATCTACTGGTAGAAACAAATATAACGAGCCTAACAGAAATGCAACTAAAACACATGTCCAATTTTATTTTAAATATATCGGGCCCAACACAACAAATCCAAGTGGATTAAAATATTATAATTTCCTGGTGTCCAATTTTATTTTAAATATATTGGACCCAACCCAACAAATCTAAGTGGATTAAAATATTATAATTTCCTGAATATGGGATAAAAGTTTGAGACAACAGAGACTCCAGTTTTTGCAGAACATAGCCCACAAATCACTAAGTACACATCACACCAATTCTCTGCAAC